AGACGCTTTAACAAGATGCGCCCGTGACATAGTTTGCAGTAAACCAGCCAGAAACTTTGCACAACAATTTTGCACGAGCTAATGAGGAGATTAGTTACGAGCTGCTAGTTAATAGCAAATATGAAAGGTTGGTGATGTGGAATTGAAAGGAAAGATAAGCTGGGTTTACACTACCAACTTTATGTTGACAAATTGGCAAATTGGACCAATTTCGCAACTATACAACCGACAATCGGCAGTGTAAACGCAAGTCGCATGAGCAACTAACGTATTAGCCAGTGAGACGTACAGCCGTGATTTGCACGGTCAGTTTTGAAACTGCACGGCCAAAAATGTGTAGCACGGCCTAAAATATTGATCTAAAGCCGTGTACATTACAAAAATTGCACTCCCAAATATTTTTTCTGCACTACCACAATACTCATTCCTGGCTAATAACCTGTGAGCAACTGGTCAATAGCAACTAGTTGGGGGATTAGAACATGTTCTATTTTCGCCAACTCGGTCTTGCGAATTTGCGAAATTGGTCCAAGTCGCCAATTTGACAGCAAAAAGTCGGTAGTGTAAACACAGCTTTACTTGCATTTAGTAAGCGGGAAGCATATTGAAATTGCATGTGAAAGCTCGCGTTTCGAGTGTCTTTGCAGAATACTATTCTAGGGGGTTTCAAGTTCTAAAAATTGTGAAGCCTATTCCTATATTGTGCAGTGACATTAACAATTGTGCAGTGACATTAACAATTGTGCAGTGACATTAACAATTGTGCAGTGACATTAACAATTGTGCAGTGACATTAACAATTGTGCAGCCAATTCACATGCAACATCAGGTTAACGTTCTGTGCTTACGTCACCCTAAATAGTAAAAGTAAAAAAAAATGTCCTCGTTTTCACAAAATGTAAGTGATCCTGTTCACTTTTTATGGTTAAATTGTTGCATTACACTTCCTATTTTGTTATTCCGTTCGATGTGAACAAACACTCGTGACTTATACATAGCCTATAAAAAGATTTAATGTCATGATCAATATATCAAATCGCCTAGATTTTTTTGGATTTAGAGCTAGTTGAAAAACAAGCTTATCAGGTAGAAATTGGGGATTATAACATTTAGGCCCCCCCCCCCCCCCGCCCCGCCCGCCCCGCCCGCCCCCGCCGCCCGGTTTTTTTTTTGGAAAAAAAAAAAAAAAAAAAAAAAAAAAAAAGGGTTTTTAG